TCAGTGCTTTATCGCGCAATTGTGTGAAAATAGTGCGCAAATACGCTTCGCTCTTTGGCAACTGAGATACCACGCACAAATCGCGTGACCGAATTCTAATCGACGCAACCGAATTCTGGGCAGAAAAATGCTCCGTCTTCTTTCGGAAGTATTTTGCTTATCATTATTCTATATTTAACAAGTGACTATAAAATCCTGTTAGAGGAATAAATTTCTTTTCTTTTGATGGGTAGATTGCCAAATAAAAGAGGTAAGAATTCAAAATATTAGTGATTTCCCCTTAAGTGACCGAATACTGGGCACTCTACCCTACTTCGATTGCGATAAACTCGCTAGGTCTAATCTCCGAAAAGCAGAGGGACAGCAACAGAGAGAGATAAGGAACATGTTATTATTACAAGAAGGGTCTATATTATTCAATGTTCACCCTCCTGCAACTAACAAACACATCGGATACAAACTAGAAGCCATATTTCGCATGGCACGGGATGTGGAGGGAGCTCGGGAGAAAATTTCAGAAGATAATCTAACTTAATCTAGCTTACAGTAGACCCTACACGAAAAGAAAGGAATGGGACTTGGCCCTTGGGCCAAAAATTCTAGCAAACATAAATTCCGATTTTTGTTTTCTTTCTACATTCACTAATCATTCAAATGAAATTTCTACAAGAACATACAAATAATGAAGTCAAAACCTAACTTATTCACAAAAACGTGTTATTTTACGTACTTACGTGCAAATTTAATACAAAAACAGACCGACCGACAATCGTCTTTGCTTTGTTATGATGACGTCATATGCATGCTCTGTGTTCATGTCATGCATGTTGCGTTATTTCGTGTTTAAATACTTTGATTAGGAATTTTTATATACAATTTAAAATGTATATTAATTAGTATAATTTTAAAATCTTTATTGATGTAAATAAAATTTAAATCATTACTTTAATGGATTTGCATTTATTTTCTAATCATTTATAAAAAATATTTATACCTAGTAAATCGGCAATAACAACAGGATATATAGTTATAAAGTTCCCTACGTGGCATAGAAGCCGTGATCGTCTAGTGGTTAGGACATTGCGTTGTGGCCGCAATAACCCAGGTTCGAATCCTGGTCACGGCATTTTTGCAAAAAGTTAATATTTCTCTAAATTGTTCTTTTGAATCAATAAAAACGCCAAAGCGATCCGTAATTATGAAAAAAATACTACAATTAATAAGAATTCTTTGCTTAATTTTTTTTTTAATGAATAGAATAGATTGCTGTCCTACTAGTAATAATCATACAAATCAAAGTTTGTGTTAGAAAAGTTTATCCAATTAACACAAAAGTTTTTTTGCATTTTGTATCGAATACAACTATATTTTAAATTTGGGGGCATGGGGGAGAAGTTTGAATTATATCAAGGGCGTAGGCCACATAGATTACCTTTAAAGTTCTACTTTTTGTTTGCTGTATCATTAAAGGAATATAACCCCAATATCCTTTTTTGTATATTTGTAGTTTTCATTTTTATTCATTTGTTCCCTGATTTTTTGGAAGAAGCAAGAGGAAGTGAGAGACACTCCAGAATGTTGTTTCTTAATATTTTTGCTTTTTTTTCATTATTGATTCGATTTTTAATTGTGCCATGTATAAATAACAAATTACATTACATTTTTCAAAAACTTCAGTGGACTTTGATGTTGCATTAAATCTGAGCTAAGAACATCAATACAAAGTGCATCATATGATGAATGCAATTTAAGAGATACTAAACACAATGATTTTATTGAAAGTAGGATGATCATTTACATTTATAAATTTACACCATATCATCAATTCAATGGCAAAGCAAAGTATTCTAAACAGACAATCTGCAACCTTGGTAAATATAGCTTCAAAGCCAGACTTGATAAACACTGGAAGAAGGCCGGAGCAATATAATTTACCCAGGCTTCTCCCAGTTGACAATCCTGATATGACCCAGCAAGCAGGAGACAGAAGTGAAATGACCATGGCCGGTGCAAGACCCGGAAGCTGGGACACCCCCCCCCCCCCCCCACCTTTGAAGTTAGATCTGGAAGGTATTGACCAAGTACAAATAGGGGAATCCATCCTTGTCTTTTCCTTAAAATAAAAATGTAAAATATATGTTTTTGCAATATACCTTAAGGACTCAGTTCTTCATATACTAGTAACTGATATTACTAAATTAAATATTTATAAACATTTGTTATTCCAATTTATTTGTCTTAACAGTAATAATAAAAACATTTTTTGTTTTCATTTTTTATTTGATAATACCATTGCATAACAGTGGTTATGGTCAACAAAATAGTCAAAGTTGACTATTTGCCATTATAGCACCAAACAAAGAAGAAAAAGTATAAGAATGGATAGCAGATAGCTGGAGAAATACATCAAAGTCCATCAAGATGAATTAATTTCAAACTCAAATTCAAATGTAAAATACCTCTTTTAACAATATACCTTACAATAATACTAAATTATAATACTTATAAACATACATTGTTCCAATTTATTTGAGTTAACAGTATGATAATAAAAACAATGTTTTGACCATCCACGGAATAGAAGAAAGATAAAGAGGATGTAAACATTTCCATTCAATGCCTTGCAAAGCATGAAATGAAATAAATTGCACATTCATTTTTTTCTAATATACCCAAACTTCAAGTCATTCTCCACTCTCCAGTATATATTTCTTCATGAAACTTTACTCTCTTTATCATAATGAAATAATGTAAGATATGAAATTACAGGCGACCATTACATTCAATGGTATTTCAACAAAAACAACAAAATAACTTGTCTTTCAACAAAAAAATACTGCCAAATTTTCGACAGTGAATTTAGGTAACATTAAAGTTCTACTGATATACTGTAGTATATATTTTTGGGTTAGCTATATTATTCCATAAAATAAAGAGTCTATAACATCTGTTGTGATATATATAATGCATTTTTATATGATACAATGTGAGCAATGTACTTTAACTTATTACTGAATTTTTAAATCTACTGTTTTTAATGCATTTTTATATGATACATTGTAAGCCAATTATTGTTAGTCTTTGGACTTTTTATTTGGTATATTTGTAATAAAATCGAAATTGAATTGAATTGAATTGAATATACAACAGTTGTACTATAGGATTTCCCGGCCAAATTCGCGAGTTTGTCATTCAAATTAATATGTCTTGCGTTCAAATTTGATGGTTTAGTGCAGTCAAGTATATCTCAGGTTTATATTCCCTTTTCTAGTTTTCAAATCTATGGAATTTTCGTTAGAATCTACTTATGTTTCATTCAAATTAATGAACAATGTGCTTCTTTCGCTATTTGGTCATTCGATTTGGCGCAACACGATTTTCTGACAACACGACAGTGTACTTTTAGCATTCTAATTCATTTGTAGCATTCAAATTAGCACTTTGTGCACTTGAATTGATGGTCAATATACATTTCTCGTTTATTACACACTTTTTATAGCTCATTATTTTTCTTTCAAGATTGTTTTTTCATGTGTATTTTATCATATTTCATTTTCTTGCATTTATTCATACTTATTAGATTTATCTGATATTCATCAGCATTTAAGTTTGATTGTTAAGAAGAAAAAACTTGCATCTACGGACCTGATGGTCTCAGTATATTTGTAAATGTTCATGTAAGGAAGTTGTTTGTCTTATGTTTCATCATAAATTTATCATAATTTCATCATAACTTCATTATGGAAGAAGGGTACAATATTGTGACTGGGGTAGAGACTAGAGTCAACATTTTGAACATGTCTTTAGCCATCAATCTGCTGGCGGGCAAGTAAACTATGAAACTCTTTAAGAAAAACAGAGGGGTGTGCTGGGTATAAGAGACGATGTGAATTACTTTTGTAAAATTCCGAGTCTGTAGTAAATAGGGGCGATTGAGGGTACCCCCACCTTTCCCGGGTATATGAACATGTCCGGGCAGAAATGCCGTATCCCTTGATTTCGCCCCTTCTTTACTTTATGTCTGACTACACCCATCTGCATTGTCCTGAAAATAAATAAATGGAATAACAGCTTAGACCCCAATGGTAAATCATGCATTTTAACTGCATTATTTAAAAACTATAAAAGTTTGATGCAATTCTTCCCCCTAACATTCCTAACTTGAATAAAAAAATATTACGAATATGAATGACAGGTGTTAATTTGAATGATAAAAATTATGCTTCGACAAGTGAATATTAATTTGAATGCTAGTTGAGCAGTTTCTAAATTGAATGACAGATCTATGAAACCCTTCGACCAAAATTCTAAATTAAATACAAAAAATGGAAAATTGAATGATACTTGGCATGGCAAAGCCGATCTGCACTAACTTAAATGCAAAGTAAATGAATTTGAATGACAAACACGCAAATTTGGCCGGGAAATTCTATATTAGATGTCAATTTTCATAAACATTAGGTCAAGAACTTGATTGTAAAGTTGACAGCAAAGAAATTATGACCATGTTTTAGAAAGTAAACTTAATGAAGCATAGATTACGGATGTGATATGATTATAATTAGTTACTCAGGGTGAAGATTAATGTTTTACACGGAGCAGTTTCCAGTAACTTTAAAACTATTCTCTTTGGGTTAAAAACAAATTGTTTTAGCACAAAAGACAAAGTGGTATAGATTTGTATAAAAACTGCTTTAAATCCAAATTGGAAAGATACAGCCCCAATGCTATTGCTTAATATCAAAAGAATTTTAACTTGTCTGCATTTTTGTGGAGATTGTCTTTTGCACTTGGGGGAATAAATATGGAAAGTTACCTACACTGCTCAATTTTGAATGGTATTTTTCACCATTGTGTATTTACTGTTTATTTCAAATGGGATTAGAATTTGTCACATATGCCCAACAAAGTTTAAATAGCAGTTTAACAATCATTGCAAGACAAATCGATCTTCTAGACAGCTTCTGAGGAGATGTTAGCAAGCAAGAATCTGATTCAGATCACACCACTTGTTTGAGATGACCCCATGTCTTCCCGTAGCTGAGAGAAACTGGAAGAGGGACCTGCAAAATCAATGACAAGTAAAAACAACGACCATAAAGAATTAATTTTTTTTTTTTTAATGAAAGTACGATTTGTAACATCAAGTTAATATAACTCTGTAATGCAAAATATATTCTTTCACATGATTGGTAATAAGAGCTTCCATATAATTTTTTGAAATTGGGGCGTTTCCAATACTGGTCTTTACCTTTGACAGTAACGTCTTAATACCAAAAACAAGATATTAATATCTTATGGAAAAGTAGTAATAATGCCAGAAAACAGAGAAGACGTATGTAAATCAGCTGGACAAAGACAAGGGCATCATGATCATGAAAATCTCAAACTTTTATCATTATCTTGTTTTATTTAAAACCAACCTGCCCCTACTCATCCATTATCAAAAACTCTGTCACAAACAACTATTAAAAACCATGTCTTATACTAATCACGTTACTTGATTTGGTAAGCAGAGACTGCCCTCATATGAGGATTATTCTTACAGAATTCTGTCTGCCAGGAAAATATATCCAATACAGCACATATATTGCATATTCAATTTTATACATAAATCTTTACCTTCAGCTGACAAATGGATTCACCCAATGTTGGTGTAGACTCCATGACAGTCTTCAAAATGTCTGTCAAAGAAAAGAGATTGTATTTCAGTTAACCCAATGACTCCTGGAATCAGGTAGATCCTGTATTAAGCCTATGGGAGTTAAACAATTTAATAGTAAACAGGTTAATATTTTCCAAGTCACTCTCTGTCACCCTCTTCCATTTATATTTTGTTTCAGTTAAACCGAGGGCTGTAACATATAAGCACATCATGCTTAAAGCTTGCACTGTAGCCCTCCGGTATATGTCTATCTAACTGCTATTGAGTATGCATTAAGTGTGTAAATTAATTTCTTACTTTTCTATACATGTATTGTATTGAAGGGAAACAATGTAACAGTGTCACATTTAGTAAGCATGAATATGTACGTTTGGAAAGAGGATAAAAAAAAAAAAAATTCAAATCACATCAAATAATAATATTAACTATATAGATATTCTTTTATTAAGATACGATTGAAGCCATGGTATATGTATGATGAAGGCATTGATTTACACTATAATTAGAAACCTGCTCTCCACTGCTTCTATTTCAATAATTCATTCCTACAGGAATCATGTTTCCCAAAAGGGGGGGGGGGGGGGAGGTGTGATTGCTCCATGGTAGAGTAGTGATCTTGTAACCGGGAGGTCCCGGGTTCGAAACCAAGTAGTTGTACGAGTGTCCTTTGGTATAGCATCAATCCTCATTACCAAGTCCTTCGGAGAGGACCTATAGCCGTCGGTCCCCTGGTTGCTAACTTACAAGCATACACATGATTTCTTAGCTGTCATGTCAAACATACAAACATACAAATTTAGGTTATTCAAACAAGGTAAATGTGTTACTAATATCTAGATATACCTTTGACTTCATTGATATCTTCATCATGGACTTCAAACAGCAGTTCATCATGGATCTGCACAAGTAATCTGTTAATTCACATATAACAGATGTAATTGTCATGAGAAATAAACTTAATAATCAATATATGTATATAAAAATTAATTAAAATCAACAGGCAAAAACATGATAACATTTGATCCAATTTGTAGGTTTACATACTTGACACATTTAAATTTACAAACTGCATGTGTTTATCAGTGATATATCTTTATCAAATGTAGAAGTACCAAAAATATTCATATTTTAGTATCTGAATCATTATGTCAATCAATTACGGCTACCCGTTGTTTGCCATAACTTGGCATTAATGACATTCTAAAATTTGGTGATCTGATGACTTTTAAATATAGTGAGGGGGGGGGGGGGGTGAGGTGGGGAGAGTTAGGGCTTGGGGTACAGTTCGTATTTAGGTTGGGTTTAGGGTTATGGTGCGGTTTAGGTATAATGCTGGGATTGAGTGAGGTGAGTTAGCTAGAACTCGATTAGTGATAGAATACTGTGAAAAAGTGCAGGAGCACAAAGCGTACTATTTAAGAAACATATCTTGAAACTGCTGACTATTCTGCCCAATATCAGTTATGTATTATATATTTTGGGACAAGTCTAATAGGCATTTAGCCTTTGTTTGTCCCTCCACATTTTGAATGTATTTTGTTATTTGTATCTATTGTAATTTTGTGCTATACCTTTTACGGTTATTACATTTTTATTGGACGTTTACTGCATTGCTATGTTTATAGGTTATTTGTATGTTTTTAATGCCATTTTCATTGAATTGCAGAAAAATTAAATTGAATTAAATAAATATCTAACACCAGTGACAAGTACTATAGACACTGATATCTCCAATCATATTCACCTGGCTCTAACAGTGTTCCTCTCTGATAATACCGTCATGATGTGGATCATAGCAAGCTTACAGATGTCAGCAGCAGAGCCTGTAATAATCACAACGAGAATCAGATACATAGAGAATGATGTTGCCCAAATAGTATAGTACAGTCAAACCTGCTTTATTGACCACCTGTCTACAAAGACCACCTGTCTACAAAGGCCACATTTTTTGTTTCCCTTGAAAATGGTTTTTCGTACTATAGGCACCTGTCAACAAAAAACAATTTTCTTGTCTCCCTTGGATGGTCTTCATAGACAGGTTTCACTGTACATATAACAATCTTTTTTTTTTTAAATGTGGTATTAGCATACATGTAGCATACAAATATTTGTATTATTAGTACAATCAAATGTCATCATGAGGTCTGGTAACAAGGACAAACAAATTCTCACAGAATTAAAGATTTTTAATGAAAATGATCAGATTGTACGCATGGAATTGCATATGTCAATACAATGAAATAGGTGGTAGCAACAATTTATGAAAAACAAAACTTGGGGCCCGATTTCATAACAATTTTTATCAATAACATAATGCTAAATTTATTTAACAAATTTGCTCTTAGCCAATCTAATGTCTTGTTTTCAGTAGCTTATAACAGTTATTGTAACTTGTTCTTGATAACAGGTTTTATGAAACAGGGCCTTGGTCATCTTCAGTAGATGTGGATATATCATTGAAATTTTCTGAACAGTTCTCAAAACTGACCATCGGCTCTTCATTAAATCATCTGGGTCAGGAGAGTTAAAGGTAGATGAATGTCTAGTTGGAGCCATGAAGGATTTGAACCCTGTACCTTTCGATCCACAATCCACCTGAACTTATCCCCTCGAACTGTACCTCTACACTTAGGGTTAAGGCTTGTACACTATATGATGCGGTAAACTAGCATAGCATTATGTGCAATGGGATGCCGACTGGCGGGGGGGGGGGAGGGTTTTTTTTTTACTATTAAAAATATTCTGGGTTATGGGTTAATACATCAACGATGTGTCCAAGTGCTTTACAGGATATAATTACCCTTGTCATCAGATTCAGGCTTTCCTGCATGCACATTCTCCACTCCCTGGGGAACATTCCAAGCAGGTGCTGAGCAAACTACAATGACGGCTTTCGCATCCTACCAGGAATGCATTTAGCACCAGGGTGGAGAGTGGCAAATGTGGATTTATGCTTTTCTAAAGGAAGTTAGTACCAGACTGGGATTCAAACCCCCAATCTTTAGATTGAGAATGAAGTCAATGAACCACTAAACCACAATAACACCTCCACTTTAAGTGGCTTATCGTTTCATATGGGAAAAGGTTTTACACTAACCCTGGATGACAAAGTTGACAGCTTGTCTTTCTGCATGAGACCTGACATGGAAGTTCTGTGAGCTGATGTTAGAGATGAGTCGATGACGATGGAAGATGGTCTTCACATGACCGTGTCTCTGGCACTCTGAGATGCAGCGTTGGGCAAAGGTATTCACTCCCTTGAACTTCACTGTGGATTATTAAAAACAAAGGCAGGAAAAGTCTTAAATCCACTCAAATTTTATCAATTTTCTGTAAAATAACTGACATAAATCAAATTGGCAAACCTCTGTAAAAGAGCTAGTCAGGATGATAACAATGATAACCAAGAAAACAAATATAACAAGCAAAATTATTCTCCAAAATCTTAAAGGGATTGTTTAACAATGTTAAATCTGAGATACATGGTCCTACATGTTATCAGTGTCTGTGATATGGTGTAACATTGAAGCCCTAAAAAAATCGCGCTTCAAAATGATCAAGAAGTGCCTCAAAAAAGTAAAAATCTTTGAGTGGCCGGTTATACCATACTCGTTTTCCCCAATAGACTGTAGTGTTATGAAAACCGTCAGGCGAACGGTTTTCAAAATTTGTAATTCCAATCATAAATATCTTGATAATCAGATAGGCGATCGGCTTGTAAAAGTCATGGGGTTCCTGACTGACCTAAAGGTTTATAATTATCATTGCATCATGAGCTAAATCCAGAATTTTATTTCAGAATCTGAGACAAAGTTACCGGATCCCTTTAAGTTTGATGTCATGTATGTTTCACAATATGTAATTTTGTTAAATACCTGTTTTTCAAATGCATACTGGTATTTAAAATTTCCAAAACGTGAAGAAGAATCTATAAGATTTGTCAACAAACAAAGGGACAATATTTTTTCTTCAAAATTTTACAACCTACAAACAATTAATCACATTCAAAGTCTTGTTGAGTAATAAAAACTAAATGAAAAAATGCAACTTAGAACTTAACTAGATGCCTTTCACCTTACCCAAGAAACTTTTGGTGAATGCCTTAGCATTTTCCTTGGTGTCATTAAGTGTTTCCGCCAAGCGCTCAGCCCCTGAAAGAAGGAAATATTACAAAAAGTGATGAAAATAAGAACAAATTCCCAATAATAGAGATAATTGTGTCTGTGTGTTTACATTCCAATCTTGGTTATTTCCATCCCGCTTCATTTGACCCAAAATGTGATACATTGCTTGTATATGCGAAACCTTCTTGGATGCGCAACATTCCTTTGATGTATACTTTCCCACCATTGCCATATGTGTTATGTAATGTGTAAGTGATACACACATCCAGTTAATATCTAAAGTGAACATACAGAATTGTGTACTAGCGAGAAGTATCTAATAAAGTACTCTCCACTTGTTATTTGGACACCGTCAAAGCAACTCGTCATGTTTCATTCCTTAGCCTCTCTCATAGGTACACAAAAGTATGGCCTCCATATTTACTCAGGCCCGACCCATGATATTTCTAGTACATTAAACCTTTGAAAGATTACCAGATTTCAACTACTTCATAAGGGTAAAAATATATTCTTACCAACACCATAGATGACGGAGTACACTATTCGTTTGGTTCTTTCTCTGTCTCCTGTCTTCACATCTTCCAGATTCAAACCAAGCCTGCAATTAAAGACAATAGAACAACATTAACAGTTTACCTCAGTCCTTCAAAGGCAAAGTATGATAAACACTGTATCATTCGTACAAAGTCATTGAATAAATTACTGAAGAAATTTGATCATCAGTTAAAATCAACCCCATTGAATACTGAATTCTCCCATTTGCATAGACTTAATACAGGGCCTATCCTGTGCTAGTGGGCAAAGGGTTAAGCTTACCATTCACAGGTGAGTTGAACAAAGATGTCTGTACTGCCAGCATCATTGAATACCTTCAAGAGCACAGCATCCTGAGAGAGGTGGGCCAAGATCCTCAGCTCAATTGACTGGAAATCTAGAGAAGACAAAAGGAGCATCAAGCACCATCTGAATGTAGTATGCTTAGAAATTAAATAAGATTGCTCCCCAGGGAGTGGAGAAGGTGCATACATTGTGCGCGGGCAAGCCAGAATCCCATGACCGAGGGTAATAACTGTAAAGCCCTTAGAAACTCGTACTTGCAGTATTAAACGCGATATAAGCAGAAATAATATTATTATCAAAGGTAAGTAAAAAGTTAAACATTGATGAATGAGTTAAAATTCTTCCAGGTGTCAATGTTGAAAGTTATTATGCTATACACACCAATGCACAAGTATAGAATCAGGACATTTTTCACTTTTGTGATCAAAACCAGTAATATTTGGGATATAATCATTTGTTACTAAATTGTTGGAGGTTTGTTTTGACCCTCAGTAAAATTTATTTATTTTTTATTATTTGCCAGTCGAGATTGTTAAAAACATTAAAAAATGGCAAACTTTACTTTCCTTTTAATAGCAAACTTTGCTTTTCTGTCAACAAATTTGTCAGGACATTTAGTCAAAATCCAACCTATCAGAATATTCTAGCAGTGTTCTGAAGTAGTGTGACTAACACGGAAGGACATTGCACATCATACAGAAACAAAGAGCAGAGAAAGGTAATGAGATATATTACCAGCAGCAATAAATGACCAGCCCTCGTGTGAGAAGAATGGTTCTCTCATCCACAGTGTAGTGGCTGGAGCAGTAGAAGATACAGTGGACTCTATCAAAGATGGAAACATGAACAAAAAAAATAAAAAAATTAGAATGGCCCCTCACTACAAAATTTGACTGTATTATTAATGATATAATGATGAATAGTTTCCATCATAAGACATACCTAGGTAGGATGAATTTATTTAGAAAAGGAATAGCAACTGATCAAGTCAGCTGATATAAATATGTACTTTCATCTCTTTTCATCTACCTCTATCAAGGAAATACTACCGGTATCTTTCATATTTCTGGGGTAAATACCTCTTCACTTTGACAGTCTACAAGCAAAGACAAATATCCTTAACATGTTTTTTAATTCAAAGCCCTCAATTAACATAAGAAAAATAGGATCATGGGGGACCAATAGTCACCGATAAGGCATTGTTTGTTATTAGAGGGCGCAAATAGATATAAGTAATGCAGTGGGGCTTTAAAAAAAAAAAAAAAAAAAAAAAAATCACAACGCAAGGTTTACCGGTTGTTACAATCCACTTACCATTGACCACTGACCCATTTGCATCTTTGTGTACTTGCAAGGGCTGCTTGGGAATGTTTTGAATGTTCTAGAATAGAAAACAGATGCAAACAGATGAAAACAATGCAGAGAACGAGAGAGAGAGAGAGAGAGAGAGAGAGGGGGGGGGGGGGGTAAGAGAGAGTGAAAGAGGGAGGGGAGAGAGATAGATAGAGAGAGAGAGAGAGAGAGAGAGAGGGGGGGGGGGGGGGAAGAGAGAGAGTGAATATCCATATTGATGATGCATTACAGTTTAACTACCAAACCATATACAGACACCTATGACAATGAACTACCGACATTTTTCATCAATATAATGTGCAAAGTAAAACTACATAAGTAGGTTTGTAGGTGCAATGCATTGTGACAGACCAAATCAGAAGTTGGCAATTACACGAACAAACAAACAAGTAAATAAAATTCAATGTGAGCGGGTTACCATCTACTGTAGATAGTAACCTATTAATTAATTTCTTCTCAGTATCTTAACTTTACCTCACAAACTTAGAACAGATAAGAGGAAAGGTTTGCTTACTGGGTTTGATGACTGGAGTCTACCCGAGGCAGCTGAGGTTTGGTCCCAACTGGTGTGTATATAACCCTATCAATAAACGATTATCAAGAGTAGCTTTAATATTCCAGACTCAACAAAATTCATGAAGAGTCTCTCCATTTCTCTCCTTCTCTCTACTTTGCTTCTTTTGATCAATTCTCTCTCTCTCTCTCTCTCTCTCACTCTCCCCTCTCTCTCTTTCCTTTTCTCATTTTTTTTTCTTACATGTAGAGCTATGCATCTCCCTTTGAAACTGGTCTTTATTTATACATTTCAGCTTACATTCTTGAAGATATGATTACGAATTTGTTGTTTTCATCGTGAAATACTTTTCACATTCACATGCTTATAACACTTATTGTAACTTGTTATTGATAACATGTCTTATGAAACAGGGCCCTAGTCATCTTCAGTAGATGTAGACATATCACTGAAAATTTCTTAACATGGAGAAATACTTTTCACGTTCACATGAAAAGGCTTCCTAGGAATTATGATTGTGTTCAATTATACACCATGAGGAACTAAATGCGTTAATAAACATTATGTATATAAAGAATAGTTAAAGAAACAAGTCTCCACTTACTCCAGATACATAATCAGACAGCCCATCTAAGTAGGTAGATTTCAGCTTCACGAGCTAGATGGATATGAAACATAAGAACTACAGATGATTCTAATCAATATGATGAAATACATGCATTCGCCAATCACCATCTCATATAAAATGTCACAAGTTTAGATATAACTGGAGGATGGTGAAGACAAGTATTAACAATATATTTCACATTCATAAAGGAATATCTTTCAATAAAAAATAGTGCACTCACTACTTGTTACACACATGCATATCACCCTTTTTGTGACTTAAATGTAAGTTTAAATACAAAGCAATTTCCGATCCCTTTGTTATGACATCTTTATTCTTCAAAACCCCTTTCTCAGCAAGAAATCTATCTTTATAAATTCCCATGATCGAGACCAATATCAACATAAGATATGGATTATTTCATTGATATTCAAACAAATTCCAGACATAGATGTAGAAATTACTTGTACATTCAAATATGGCAATCCGAGGGTTCAGTGACACAAAGACGTAAATCCATATTTTGCCAAAATGAGTATTTGATATCAAAATGTTCAGAAAAATGTGGGCTTTCCAGGAAACACAAAGACTTAACTCCACCCAACACCCCATTGAAGTCAATGGCTAGTGAAACATAGACTTAACTCCTTAAGGCCCAAGTGCTCAGTGACACATATAAACCACTTTTCCTCAAAATGACCAAAATGGAGTTACGTCTTTGTGTCACTGACCCATCAATCATCCTTTTCATTGTACATGTACCTTACCTGTCTGTGGGTCAGGACTAGCTCTGGCAAAGGATGCAGATCTTTAAGCTTGTGTAACTGTAAGAAGATACAAAAGCATTAATATGTACTGAATACAACATACAAAATTTCCTGAGGCACAATTAACAAGATTAAGAAACCCAACATGTTCAATTAAGTAGATAATTTGCAATATTTTTGACGACTCTAATCTACAAAAGCTGAAGTTATACATATACAGGTAAATAATTTCCCCAAAATAATGTTAACACCCACAACAGACAATATCAAATGAAAATTATTTCTCATTGAAATGTGTACTAAAGGAACCTGTACATAAAGACCATCTACCTATGAATACCACTTTTCTTGTCTCCCTTGGGGGGTCTTTATAGACAGATTTCACTGAATTACTAAAATGCACACAATATATTTGAAGAATAGTTGAAACACTTGCACAAAGCTCATAATGGACAAGTGCTAATAAGTTTAACTGAATGTTTTTCCATTTACCACCATTTCTGAAGTAGACTTGAGATTCTGGACATTGGTTCTTGCAAGTTTCTGACCAGGACAGAGCTCATCTAGCTTTAGCTCATCAAACAAAACCTGAACAACAGTAAGATTGAAAGAAACAATGTTGAGTGAGTTCTGTCATGTTTATTGTTTAATTTGTATATATGTACACAACTTAATACTTCTTGCAGTTACAGGCATGATTGCATTGAGCCAATATATTTTTTGTTTTCAGAGGCCATTAAATTTGTTTACACTGTTTGAAAGTCTCATGGCATGATATCAATCAAAATGTAATTCCAACCTGTTTTTTCCCCTTTAAAACTCTTTCTTCTATCACTAATTCCTCATAACACACAGAGTTGGCAGCTTGATTTCACTGATTGCATTGTCCATTCTTTGATAATGAGTAACAATGATATTTAAGTCCATGCCCCTGATATTTTCAAGAAAGTTTAGCTTCTTACTCCAACATACTGCCATAGACATAGATAAATACATGTAAATATGATGTAGGGTAAGCAGACACTGGCACTTTATAAATGTTATAGCCATATTTTTTGTTGCTGTCAGATATGGGGGAAGGGGGGCAATAGCAAAATTATGGATTTCTCCCTCTGGCCAGTTCAGTGTCATTTATTGGAATCAATCAATTACTTCAAACCTGTAATAACTATAAAGAGGAATGACCTGTCTGAGCTGGATATGACTGGTGATCTGGAAAGGATGCCCCGCCTTTTTGTAGCATTGTCTCTCTACATCCTTAATCTCATCCTAAAAAGATAACATACATTATAACGTCTAATGATAACATACTGTACAAATAATATTAACTATACAACAACGACAATATAATAAATTTCAATTATTACAAGATCATTGATATTTTTTCATTATGTACATTTGCAACAGTTTTGTATTGTTTATGTTATATTTTATAATTGCCTTTAAATTGTTCTACTTTTCATTGTTATTCTATGTTTTTAAAGATACATGAAATAAACTGAATTGAACAAAATTAAAAAGATGCTAAAATATATCATTCGAGCTCCAATAGCTGTCCAAAAAGTGTTGAAATAATGCTTTTAATAATCTACATATGCTTTGACTTCAATAAAACTTGTATTCTCTTTTCCAGGGTAGGTGTACCTGTCTCACTTTCTCTATGAATTGGATTTGGCCCATGAAATAATACAAATGGCTTTGGGTTGGCTCTTCCCCTTGTTGATGCATTGGTCAAGCAAATACTTCATTTGGCATCATTTTCATATTACACTCCAAGACTATTTAGGCAATCAACCTGTTTAGTCAAGTGGCTGCCAACTTCTGTCAAGATCAGTCTGCTGGTAGAAAGTCAGATTACAGTATCATATTCTTCAAACTTCTTGATTTTATATGACAACACACATAACATTTACCTTATACACTGGTATGTATTACTAGTACTACGGATATGAAAAAGAGTGCATACCTTCAAGATATTACTGTAGGATATGAGCATCTTCTGGTTGACTTGTATTCCTTGGACTTCCATACCTAAAATGATATTAACCCCTTAACTACTGAATTATCTCAATCCCATAGACATTATACAGGGACCACTCAGTTCCCATAGACAAAGGGTTAATGAATTGTTATTCAGAATAGTACAATAAACAATGACAGAAAAAAATGCATATCCAATTTTAAAAGAAAATTTAAGCAAAATGCATGTACACAAATAAAGATACTACGGCAAATGACAAAAACAATTATAAGGGAGGGAGAAATTAGGTGTATGTGTTTGTAGAGAACATATTTAATCATAAAATAGCGGGTAGATCATGAAAACTTTGTAAAGGGGAAAGTGAGTGTGGTACTCTGAACCAAAGGGGGGAGGGGCAGGGATAATGTCTCAATATGTAACTACCATACTGTATTGTCAAGGATGAAAATTAAGCCATGGGGGAGGGGTCGAGCAAATCAAGAGGTGAATATGATCTGTATCATTATTACCAGCCAGTATTGGTATTAGGGGGACTTCCAAGTTGATGAAGAGCTCCCATAAATTCTTCCTCTGGAGTTTGTTCGTCAGGTCTCCAATCACCGGCCCAAGTAATTCCAAATGTGCCTGCAAGGGAAGCAAAGAAAATAATTGAGGCATGATGAGATAATGCTTCAGGATAAAATTGAGTTCTGGGAAGAGGTGAAAAATAATTTGTGAGCATTATCATTGTTGTATTATGCAAGTGTGGAAGAACATCAGATAAAAAATGTTTGCTGAAAAGCATGGGTCTTTGAATTCCTTAATATTCTAAATATGGCATGTAACATCATAAAAATTGGGACAGATTTTTATGCCACATGTTCGTGTAGTCCCACACCTTTCTGTGTACAGTGCTTGTAACTTTACCAAGATTGGGCCAAATTTCAAATCATTTTGATGATTCCAGAACCTTGCAGTACACACAAATATGCTAGATGATCAAGCTTGATCGATTCCACAACATTTCATTTACAATGCAATCGCATGACCAGAAATCAACTTTAAGACTATGAAAATGAAAGAATTCATTAGTCATTGGGATTGACTCATGATGCTTACCAAGTGATTGTTTGGAGTTTGATCATTATACTTTCCAGCAAGGAATGTTTTCAGCATTCCAGAGAATGTGACCGGAGGGTTGTCTGGATCCAGGAGCCAGCAAGCAATTTTAGGGTCCATTATCACCCACTTGTTGCATCCTAGAATGTAGAGAATGGAAATTACAAAGTTAAAGGGTTGATAATACCCCTAAATAAGTGATATTTGTTATATTTGACCTTCACCATCATAAAGGAATTTCCCAGATTCAGTCTAAACTTACCCTGAATATCAAATTCAACAAATAACAGATATCTGCCAAACAATTTTAATAGAAAAAAAAAATAATAGGTAAACAATTAGCAAATAGAGATAATAAAATCAAGCAAATCAAGCTTGATAAGCTATGAATTGCATGGTTTTAGTGAAAGCTATTTCCAGGAAGCTTTTGTTCTTAAATAAGTTTTTTTTTTTAATCTATCTATCTATCAGGCTATAGTTCATCCAGACATTGGAAACAGCATTTCCATTCTCTTCTGTCTCTAGCTATCCTAGTCCAAGCGGCAGTTCCCATATCTCCTGCATGATAATCAAGGATTTGATTTAAGCAAGCTTCTCTGACAATCTAATTCTATCACCTAGCTGGGGGATGTTTCACAAAGATCCTAAGTCAAACTTAACTCTAAGTTGGACTTAAACATTGAGGAGAGCCATTTGTAGCCTTAAAATAATATGCATTCAAAAGCAAATATTCAAGTATTTTAGACTTTACATTAATTCCACATTACACAAAAAATCTCCTTGATAATATAAAATATGAATGATTTGAACCAACATTTTATGCCTTTTAAAATAACTTATACAAAATATTTTCAAAGGTGCCAACAGTTTTCCATAATTGTTAAGTCCAACTTAGAGAAAAGTTCAACTTAGGATCTTTGTGAAACACCCCCCCCCCCCCCCCCCCGCCCCCTGTAATGTTTGCCATTCAATCATAACACACCTGACTGAGGATCCAGTCTGTAGTTGATGATGATGGCATGCATCAGTTCTTGAGCATCAAAGCAAACTTTTCTAGTGTTGGACTGCAGAATCTCAAGTAGAACATTCCTACCAACCAAACAAACAAATATTAGTTACCGGTACATCTTAATCTCATTGTCCACTGCTATATTTCTGAATAGGGATAGCAATAATTGATTATTTGCAGAGTGTTTAAAAAACAGCTGCAAATATATATGCAAGTTCTAAAGGATTTAATATTACATGAATGTGGAACTTAAGGGCATAGAGGTGAAATTATGCAGAGGGCTTAATTTGCATGAACATTGTTATACATCTAAACTCAAAAGTCTATTTCCTTGGTAAAAAATCTTATTTAACATCAATATTTTGTTTCTCCATTGCTTTTTGATGATGTTGATTAAACAATCATATTAAAATGTTTTAAAGGGAAAGCCATGCCATTAGTATCTACAAAACATGTAGGAATTGTGATTCTCCAAATAGTAATTCACAGATCTAAAAGTGGTATGGAAACAGTCGCATACAAAATTCATTGCTAGGTGTTGTAAACCATGACTTCATTATTATGACAATGAAAGAATCAAAAGTATGATGTGTACTAGGTTATGGTAAAATTACCTTGTTGCTTCTGATGCATTTTCTTTGCCTACATGTAGACCTGCCAGCGGAAATGAAACAAACATGTATTCCTTCTTAGCAGCCTTGCGCTGGACGGCAACCAATACAGAGTTAGCTACACCATCCTCATGAAGAGATGACAAAGCTCTTTTCCTGGGCTGAAAACATGTGGGTGAGTAAAGCAAATAATACTTATCTAATTTGAAGTAGTGTTATCGCATACAAAAAGAAATATTTTACAAAAATCAAATCTTCATTGTTACAAAATGTTGACTGATTTGTCTTAAATCGATGTGATTATAGTACTTTTATTAGTGCATTGAGTGCTTTTGGAGAAAGATGGACAGAGAAAGAAAGAAGAGAAAGAGAGAGAGAGAGGGAGAGAGAGCTAGAAGGAGGGGGAGGGGGAGATACAATAGTAGTACATATAGCAGCAGCAGCAGTATTAGTAGTAAAACAATAATGGTTTGGGAAGGGGCCGGAAAACAAAACAAACATACATGTTCCCATCAGAGTAATATTCTTAAATTTCATTCATTGTCCATCAGTCTGTTCTGTCATCCATGAAATACAATGTATTCTTATATTTGTCACCTCATTCGGTTCTCTAAGCTGTGTTGAACCGTCTGTATACGTAAGCATCATGAGCATCTCGCTTGATTCAGAAACTATCTCCTGTAACTTTGCTAGCTCTGAAGGTGACATGGATGTGATGGTCTTAGCAGGGACAGGAGCTCCGCTTATTCTGTTTGTGCCCATTACCTGGTGGGGAAGGAAAATATGATCTCCATTAAGACATCAAATGAAACTTGTTCACATATTAATATGCTGTGATTATAAAGCGCAGCAAATTTCTTGTCTACTAAATGAAGAACTAGTGGGGATGAAAAAGAAAAGAGCACAATGAAGGACCAACGTGTATTAACTTATCTAAGTGTTAAGGTTTAGAAATGTAAATTTTAGGACATGAGCACTTAAATAATCTTTATTAATAGACCCTGTGGTAAATTGCAGAAGTTTGAACTAACATTATTTCAGTAAGCCTATACAAGTTCCTTTTAAGCAACTAGATAGATGTATACATTTTGTCACAAAAGGACATAAATTTTGTTACAAAAAGGACAATGTTAGAGAGCGTATCTAAGCAACAATCATCATTGCTGCTTTCCTACTCAATTATTTTCTCATCTATTGAACCAAACTACAACTCATGTACCAAGAGCTTAAATGATAATGACATGGCAAGTCATGCCCCTGGGATAATGAATTTGTCAACATTTACAATTCATTTCTTTACCTGTTCTATAGACATCTGTGAAAGTGTTCCTGTTTTATTCTTTGGTTTCTCCTTCAAACCTAAACGGAAAAAGAGTTTACTAGATGCTTGAAATTATGCCATGTCACACAAACATTGTGACTAAAAACAAAAACCACTCAAATCATTTCAGCATCTATGAATAAATCTAAGACAAAATTAAAAGTTCTAAGATATTTTAATGTAATACAAAATAAACTAATGCTTCACACTTTCATATTCAAACATTCTCCATGTTATATTTGACATCATATGATAAGCACATTCAAATTCCACTATGTGCTATGTGCTCACTAAAGAGCAAGAGGCTCCTATTACATAATACTGTAAATACATTAAAATATCTGACTTGTGCCAAATCATGTTTATTTGATAACCAAAATCTTATTGCGCTTTCTACATTTTTCAATTCCTTATCCAATCATTGCGAGATACAGAAGAGCCATATCTGTAATTTGTTGATATTGTTTCACTGCTGATGATGTAATCTTTACCGACAGTAACACTTCATTACCTGATGCTGTTCTGTGGAATGTAGGTATAACTCTCTTTTTAACTGCTGTTGGTGCATCACTGGTGAAACAAAACACAAGATTAATCTTAATTACACTCTTAGAAAATGACACAAGTAGGATGTCTTATATTAAGAGAGAATTTCAAAGAATATATGTTTAATGTTGAAATGAAAAATCACTGTGTGCTTCTTATTAGAAAGTCTTCATTGACGAAAAGATTGATTATTCAATGTTTTCATCAAACTATAATAACACTTGGCTCTGGCCATCTCTAGTGAATGATGTCATTTATAGTAAAGAGGATATCATTATTCATCTTCTATTAGAATCTAGTTCAGTCATTAACAATAAAATAGAATAATAACATGAAAAACATTCAATTTATTTCAATTCAATAAATACCTTTAACACTTCAGTCAATTTTTTTCTTCTTTTTTTCTTCTTCATTTTCATTTTTTGGGGTGGGGGGATAAAAAAAGCTACAGGATTGTGAGATTACTGTAGGCATTTTTATTTTACTCTATAGAGTCTACCAACTTACCTAGATGTGCTACCAATGCTGCATATGTTCCCTCTCTTGCTAGGTTTGGGTGTCTGGCGATGATGAGTCCTGCCCCTCGAGCCTGCATGGGTCGACAGTTGTTTCACATCTACAGAAGATGACCCTTTGGACACACTGTTCTGATTCTCCGGTAGTGATTTCTCCGTCCGTGCCAGTTTTAAGGCAATTGTCTCTTTAGGGCACTCACTTGCTGTATTGAAAGTAACCATTTTAGAAGAAATAGAGAGGTTTTGTTGTCTGTCACGCACTGCTGCAGGGTCATCCAATCCTTCAGTATCTTCAGCTGATGACAAATCACTGGCTACAGGAATATGACATGTTCTTAAAGAGGTTCTTGATCCTTGACTAAGAGATCTATCAACAAAACCTGGCATATTCTGCAGAGGTGGTGTTGTTTTTGATACGGAGGGTATGACACGATGGCCATCCGGTTCTTCAACATCTTCTGATGATAACGAACATCTGGAGACCAGATGAGGCTGGGCTCCTGAAAAGATTCCTGATCCTCCACTATTCACACCAATAGTATTTTGCTTTATACATATAGATGACACTGTCCTAGATATTGGCAATGTTGCATGGCCTTCCAGTTCTTCAACATCTTCAGTGGATAACAAACATCTGGAGACCAGAAGAGGCTGGGCTCCTGAAAAGATTCCTGATCCTCCACTATTCACACCAATAGTATTTTGCTTAGATGGCACTGTCCTAGACATTGGCAATGTCGGATGTCCTTCCAATTCTTCAACATCTTCAGCTGATTGGGATCTGGAGACCTGAAGAGAATGGGTTCTTGTTGAGATTCTTAATCCCTGACTAGCATCACCAATCACATTTTGCAGAGATGGCAAGTACCTAGATATTGTTGGTGGGTGAGATGACAAACAAGCAGTCAGTTTAGAACTATGGGCATCACTCTTACTTGGTCCTGGCCTCAATTTACAGTCATCACTTCCTTTGGTCTGCTGATGATGAACGATGATTTCATGTTTTCTTTGAACTTGGTTGGGTAACATCTGTAACTGAAATCTGTTTTTACCGCTCTGTTCATCTGGATCTTTGAAGTTGTGAGTTTTGCTGGAGGACAAACTCTCTCCTTCCGGCTCTGTCTTCACCGTAGAGACCAAATCAATGGAAATTGTAGGAGTTGTCCCAGAGTTTCCAAAATCACCATCAAAGTTTTCAAGTTGCGCATGTGGTTGTGAGGAATCAACTTGGCTTACAGTTCCTGGTCCTGGATCATTCTTTGTGTTGGTGAGATTGGTTCTATCTTCTGGACCAGCATCAACTTTTTCTGTCTTAAAACTCTGTGCATATATCTGAGTGTAGTAGCTCCTTCCATCTGTTGGGCAAGATAACAAAGTCAGACAAGCTTGCACTTATGGATCTCTCTTTTTTAAGCAGCATAGATAACTTTATTAGAATTCTTAACCGTTTCAAAGTATTTCAAGTTCCAAGCTCTCGATGCGCTTATTCATTGACTTTTATTTGAAACATAGAAATGTTTTCTTAGTTGTTTTGCACTCTTTTTCAAACTTGTATTGATTAATGGTCTTAAAATCCCTCTCTAAACAGACACAGTGAACATGGCCTCCTTTCGTAATTAATACAGTAACAAAACTGTAATTTGAAAATACTGACCAGTTGACCTTTGACATCTCCTCTGCTGATCCTCAATTTTCTTCCAGTGAGCCTCTCTGAGAGCAGCTAAAACAAGGAGGGCATCGTCCGACAGAATATGAACAGATCCAGGATGGGGTGGTTTCTTGAGAGGTGTCCACACCTGCTTAGTTTGTTTAGGGTTCAGATCAATACAGTAAGACATGTTCTTGGGTACACAGAGCGAGCGCTGGGCGACTTGGAGCTACATGTAAGCGTAGACAGGAACCAATTCCTGGTCTTGATTCAGAGCAGAATTATTCAGAGATCAAGACTGGATTTTCTCGCCTCAGTTGCTCACAAACAGCTGTGACATAGATGAACCCAGTCAATCAGACTGGCTTCTCGATCTGTATTAAATCATAAAAGAAGCAAGAGTCTGATTTATACAACATCGATCCCTTTCTCAAGAACAATCCCAGTTCTCTGTTATTGTTAATTACGTTAGATGTAGATTCTAGTTTAGACCTAGAGTCTAGTCTTAGACTTTGTCAAAAAGTTTTAAGTCAAGTCTAGCCTAGTCTATAGGGCTAGACTATAGTATAGGTCTAGTCTAGGCTAAATTTGGATGGATCTGGGTTTTTAACTTTACATGTAACATTTAGATAATGTGAAAAATAATTAAGACGGATCGAGGCATAAATGTTAATGATGACATTTCTTCTTCCTCCCCCTCCTTCTTTTCTCCTCCTATTCTCCTCCTATTTTAATTTTGTATTCCTTCTTTGTAGATCTAGATCTAGACTAGTTCTCTAGATCTAGGCTAGATCTATCCTTCTTTCAAGTGAAATTCTACAAAACGTTATTATCAATCTGATTCTGGGACCGGGGGTATTTAAGGTAACGATGACGATGTATAGCTAGCATTTCTCTTAGTAAAACCAAACTCATGAAATGATTGATGGCCAGGCAAGTGATATTTTGTGCTGGAGGTCGAGGCCGCAGTGTGCCAAACTATATTTACCATACCGTGCAGATCTAAGTTAGACGCGACGCGGCGGTAGACTCACGACGCTTGAAGGCGGTCAGATCCCTGGTGCTGCATGGGCGTGGTCTTGCGTCTTCTTGGTTGAAACTGGAATTTAGACTTCGAGTGAGAATTCTGTTCACTCATTCAACTACACGGCAATTTGTTTCGATACTCATATCTAGTTGAAATTGGGTAATTGGGGTAGGCCTTCCTGTGGTATATCAACCTCATCTCTGCGTTGTGGTAGCCAAAGTTTGATTCTTTTACTTTCTAGTTTAGATCTAGTCACGAATTTCCTTTCGCGATTAACATGAACACCGCTGGCTAATATCGTATATCGCGATCACACATATTTGATCGAGCGCAACGCGAACGGGGATCCCCCTCTAGGCATGTTTACATATTGTTGGTGATTTTTTTTTCTTCTAAATTTCGCGGGCGGATGAATATAGGGAGAAGGAACCCTTCAATAATTTTTTTCTAGGAGAGGTGTTGAATGAATCGCCGACCCTGCACGTATTAGGTCATGTAATTATTTATTGTAATCATTATTTATAGCATTTTATGCAAGAGAGCGAAGGAACCGACCCAGGAGATATTCCATTTTCAAATACTGAACTTTAGCATTACCAGCTAAAGAAAAAATATAGAAAGGAGGAAGATATAGAAATATATAAGGAATAGATGACAGAAGGATGCAAATAAAGAATAACAGAAGGAATGATAAAGAGTAATAGCAACTGAATAATATAAGAAAGGATGGAAAGCTAGGGAAGAGAAATACAAAAGGATAATAGGAGAAAAGGTGGAAGGAAAAAATATAGAAAAACACATAAAAGAAACTATGGTTAAGCAGGACTCCAACGTCTCCAGAATAAGTGAGCTAGTCTAGTCTGTTGAAAAACTGAAATGATCCCATGCTACCCTATTGTTAAACAGGAAACTTAATAAAACTTTAAATGCTAAGTTAACCACTCTTGCTCAATACATCTCCTTATTCAATCAGCAGCAAAGAACATCATATTCACTTTGATCTACATCAGCTTGTTCAATTCCCTTTTTTAAATCCAAAAAACAGGATGGCTTCAAAATCTTTTAATTTGTTGCTCTATGCCTATAGAATAAACTCCCTGCATTTCTAATAAATAGTACTTTACTCCACTTCTTTAAAAAAAAAAACTGAAAACGCACCTCTACAATTCTTCCTAATTTGTTGATTGACTAAGGGACAGCACCTTGTATCCTCTGAAAAAGGCCCTATATAAATTTAATTATTATCATTATTGTTAAAAAAATAATAGAATAAAACAAAGAATAACATAAGATTAGATAGAAAGAGAAAGATAAAAGAAATGAAAGAGGAAGATGTATAACAAATTGTAGAAGAGATGGAAGGAGAAAAATATAAGGAAAGATGACTGAAGAATGAACATGATGGAATAAAGAGTAACATTAAGAAAGAAAATAAGGAGTAGATGATAAAAGATGAAAGAAGAAAATACATAAAAGTGACAGAAGGTGCATGCCAAAGTTGACCTTTACTTCCTAGGTCAAACTGCGGAATAAGTGGTTGAAGACAAATATTGATAAAAGAATACATCATTTGGGTTTCCTGTTGTATGCAGAAAATCTAAATGTTGTATTTTTTCATCAATATTCGACTTCAAACACATTAAAAAAAAAAAATCCTTGCAGAAATGTGTCTTAAATAAGATCCTCTATCACATTATGATACAATTTAAGTGAAATTTTGCCATCAAATTTATTGGGCTCCCAACAATTTAGAGGGGCTTTAACGCCGATAGTCCTGCAAAAAAACGTGTTTCAAATCATTGTTTTTAGTCATGATTCATGTTTGTGATTCTGGCTTTAAAATGCATGAACACAACCCAGTATAGTTGAAACCATTTGACATTTCACAGTGCACAGAGTGATAATGATTATATAAGTGACAGACAAACAAAGTACTGGAACACTGCCTCTGATTCCATGTTCTGTGATTTTATTGCACATCTGGTATATTAAACATGTTCAAATGTTCAAATTTGCATCAAAATTGGTACAACAGCAGCTCCCAATGGCTGCAAACTGGCAGCCAGGAAGAACAAGGGCCAGACTGAACATCAAGGGGTGTAAAAGTTGTACCCTAAATTTTGCACCCTTATGGGTGCTGCTAATGTACGGATTTCGGAAACAAATACAAATGTATACTATTAGTGCCTATTATTGAAGAGTAATTCAAAAAATAATTGTGACATGAACAAGGGTGTCGATTTGTATCCGTGGTTGGGGGGGATAATAGGTGCCAAAATATTTTCGGCAATGGATCAAAGCAACCAAGAGGTAGAAGCGTGTGGCGGGTTGCACCCCCCTCCCCAAGTCCGGCGAAGCACAGAGCTTTGACGTTTCATTAAATTATTAGAGAAAGAAGACGATTCGTTGTGTCCTTGTCTGAGTGCAATTCCCTCCGCCCTCCCGCAAGAAAGCTTTGACGTTTCAATAAATTATTACTCTTAATCCTTGTCTGTATTCATTTTCGCCCATCCAGCGCAAAGGGCGGAAGCTTTGCCGTTTCACTAAATTGTTAGAAAAAGAAGACAATTCGTTTTTGTGTTTTTTTTGGGGGGGGGGGGAGGCCCCCCCCCTCCAAAACGCAAGTGACATAGGCCTACATCAGCTTTTTACATAATAATCTTTCTCCAAAAATGAAAAATGTTTTAGGGAATATCAAGAAATAAAATGAGTGAAAAAACACCAATAAAGATACAATGACGTGAATTTTAAAAAGGGTGAACGGAAACAACATAACAACATTAACTACTCTCATCACTAATTTTTCTCTTAATTTTTTTTTTTTGAGGGTGAATTATTGGGGGGGGGGGATGATTGTACAGGCCATCCCCCCCAACCTGAAATATTGGGGGGGGATATATCCCCCCCCCCCATCCCCCCCGGGATCGACACCCATGGACATGAATAGCCAAACACCTTACAAAACTACAATTATGTAAAGTTAAAATGTCTGAATGTACAGAAGTATTATTAGCACCCAAAATACCATTGAAAATTTAAAACTATTAGGGTTTTTATTACTTGCATATATATCCAAAATGATTGATATGTCTATCAGATTGGCCAGAATCTGTAGAATCTTGATTTTGTGTAGAACATTTTTACATTAGAAACTTGTCAGTAATACCATATTTACAATATTACCTCATGAAAAACGGCAGATAGGAATATTTATAAAAGAGGTTTCCATGGTGTAAGTTGTAAAAATTTATAATGTTAAAAAAGATTAGTTTCAAAATTGTTCTTATATAAAAACTGTTTCCAAGTTTGAAAACTGTTTCAATTGAATTATATCACATACACATTTAAGAATAAAACATACTCTTCTTTTTTCAATACTATTACTGTTAATGCAACAAAAAAGAAGTTAGTAGGAATATTCCCCAGGAAGTGGAGAGATGCCCGATGTCCGATGACAGGGGTAATAATATCTGTAAAGTTCTAAGAGACAGTATTACATAGCGCTACATGAATCCAGTTAACAATATTAAAGCATAATCTGATATCATTTGAGTTCTTATCAAGTTCTAGAACTTAACATCATCAATCCAGGGCATACACCTACTAATGTACTGTCCATCCAATGACAAAGTTATATGCCTGGATCTTCTCTACGAGCTTCAAGGTCACAATTTAAAAAATTATTTTTGAACTATGACTCTTATGTCATCTATTTCGGGTGTACTCCAATCAGCCAGTCCTGTAATTGACCTTTGACCTCAAGTTCAAGGGTCACCTCTTGAAAAAAAAAAAATCTTCCATTGTCATCGATTTGAGGCGTACTCCACAATCTGCAAGTGAATCATCTGTTCCCTCAGCAAGTCCTGGAATTGACCTTTGACCTCAAGTTCAAGGGTCACCTCTTGAAGAAGAAAAAATTCTACTCATATGTCATCTATTAGGGGTGTACTGCACAATCTGTAAGTGACTCATCTGTTCCCTCAGCCAGTCCTGGAATTGACCTTTGACCTCAAGTTCAAGGGTCACCTCTTGAAAAACTTTGCTGACAGAAGTCTGGTGGTGAAAGAAAATGTAGAGAAGGAAATTAACTAAATTTTGGCACCAACTTTCAGTAGATAATTGTGCAAGTGTGCAATTGTACAAGTGTTTTTACAAAATAACAAGGGCAAAAAAAAACCTGCAGTAAAACTAAGTTTATGAATACAAATAACAAACAAGATTTCAACATATTTGGTAATTATGCTTCTTTTTTCTTATTTCATTTTGAAATAATATGTACCATGATATCAACAGCTATAAAGAATATTCAAATCCCCAAAGTATAGGCAATATCTTCTTTTTTTAAATCCCTACTGTAAATGTTTTGTACACAGGTTTTAACCTGCGTCAGCTTACAACCTATTCTAACAATTAAAACAAAATTTACCCAAAATGGCATACACATAATATAGATATAAAATAGCAAGGGAGTTTGTAAGAATTATCCACATAAGCTATAACTTTGATCAGTCCGAAACACAAACCGAGGGTAATTTGAAGGTACCAACAGTACAAGACGTACCAAGGGTGGGTAATTTCACTAGCGCCTAAACACAACTGCATTACTTGTCTTAAAAACTGGTGACAAGGATCATTGTTGTTTGATAATTTGACCTCATCACACTATTTTACCTCACCTAAGCCTGTTGATCACCAGAAAAAATGTGAATTAAGAAAAATTAACGCCTGGTCATATCTCCACTTTAAAGCAATCATTTAATTAGCGTTTACGATAACATCTAGTGCATTGTAGCAATTATTCAGTGGAAGAAACAGTGAATTACATGGTTGTTAGAGTAATTTTGCGACACACTTACCTCTTGAAATCCTAGTTTTTTGAAGAGCCCAAGACTGACCTTGTTCTTCTCTCCGATCTTTGCAACATATCTAGATACCTTCAAGGAATCCATACCTAAAACACAAACAAAATGGACGTCTAACTAAATAAAGCGCTGTCTCTAACAAGTCCTGATTTTTCTCTTTTGATTGAATATAGAATATTTAATTATAAATTTACTGCAGCCGGAGGGCCTTTCTACATTCAATGTTTGCCATTGTCCATCTACAATGTACAGGGGTATCAACGGGTTCTAAAAAGGGGGTGACATGTTGCAGGGGAGCAGAGGATGTGGGAAGGGGATGCTCCTCCCTCCCATTATGAGGACTGCCTTTGTAGAGTAAACAAGAGGGGTAAGCAAAGGCTCTGATGTCCCCATTGTTCTCCACCTTCTGACAGCCTTATCTGCCCATAACACTGAATTAATAGTGTTCCATTTAGTTTACAAAAGTGCACATGGATATGATATTCTGGGATTCAATCATTTATAAACAAATTCTGGATTAAAAAAAAAGCTAAAAGGTTATTCTACATATCAACATCTTATGGCAGGAGTTATGGGATAATATACAGAAATGTTGAGACTTATGACTTGTATGCCCCCTTCCCCTCCCCTTGTCAGCTACAAAAACAGAACAAAATGCCCCAGTGGAAGAAATCTTCAATTGTATCCTCACCATAGTGCATCATGATGAGAAGTGCCTCCTTGCCGAACCCCTTTCCACGACTGGATGATTCTGGATATACAAAAACAAAGACAAATACATTCTAAAGCCTCAAAATGACTTGAACGATGCATATTGTAGTGTGCATTATAATATGGAACACCAAAAGGGCGATGGCTTAACCTTAATTGAGGATAGTATAAATCCAGTTTACTACAGCAACCAACTCTATGATTCACTTTCCAGTTATTTTCCATTTTGTTTTGTCATAAAATAACACAAATTTTGTTGTCTTCCTGTTCAATGTATATACTCAATAAATATTTTTTTCTTCATTAAAGCGGGCCTGCACTACTTGTAGCTACTTGCGCCCTCTATATAGCCAACAATGCCTCAGTGGTACCGTTGATTCCCCATTAGGTTCCCCATGATCCCCTTTTTCTTATGTTAATTGAGAGCTGTCAGCAACCTTACAAGGAGGTATAATCCTTCTTGGCCAAACTAGTGCAGATAGGCATTCAAACTCGAGAATGAAGACATTTTGAAAATTCTGTAAACAAAATTTTAACAATAATTTAGAGATCTTCAAATTGTATAACTTTAATTTTTGTTTGTACTTGCCTGCCACCATTATCTCAATCTCAGCTATAGAGGGCTCGTCTGGATCATTGAAGAACAGATTCACATCCCCACACATGCTTTCTGATGGAAAATATCATGAGATATCAGTTGAACTTTAGTACAAATTTGAGCTTGGGAATGTCTGATTTCCAGTGAAGCAGAGTATAAAATTTACGTCAGAAATAGTGAGATTTTCCTTGGGGCAATCTTTTCATGAATGTTATTTCCAATTGTTCCAGAGCTCTTTCTAATTCCTCTTCATTCCATTATAAATTTCCACTGCCTTGAGTTGTGGTCCACGGTCAAGTCTTCAGATTTTCTTAACTGAGGCAATCTTTCCACATACATTGCCTCCCTATCAGAGTAATTTCATTCTTAGCTTTGCAGAGATAAATCAATCATGGTTCCATTCACAGAATGTGCTTACCAATCTCATCGGTACTTGATGACCATTTGCTCTTGTCCAGCATGATGAATGTACATTCTGAGAGAGGGAAAGACAGAGAGAGGGAGAGAGAGAGAGAGAGAGAGAGAGAGAGAGAGAGAAATCAAATTTAAGCATGAATGAACATGAATATACATGTATATACAATATCTCTTGTAAAAATTCTTAACCAATTATATGTTATATAAAAGGTTTAATAGCAGATCATCTTCATTTGAAAGTATATTCTGTGAGAGAGCGTAGTTATCACGAACAAAGAAATAGAGTTGCATCCAGGTTAGAATTCAACTAGATTAGGAAAAGGACTCCATAGCAATCGCTGGCGCATAGCGCACTTAGGCATTTGAGTAGATTCGGAATTGACATCCTGGAACAATTGCCACCATATAAGCATGTATTGTACAATCAATGAACCTTACTATTCTCATCCTGAAACCAGCTCTTTTGCATCTCATACTCCTCTTCAAGGGATAATGGTTCTGAAGCGGTTAGTTCCTGCAACTCCGTTGACTTCATCCATTCATGGTATCTATATAATTTGATGTAGAAGGTAACCAGGTAAATTAATTTACTAGATAAGTGATTTTCAGGTTCAGTGACGATTTAGTAAATTTGATCATTTTTGTAAGGGTTCCAAAACCTCATCATAATAATAAACAAATATTCATTGCTATTAAACCATCTCTCATCATTCATTCAAAAGAACTTTCACAGACCTCTCACAATTTAGATATATTTTCTACCCAATCATCCAATGTTCATGTAATAATTTAATCTTGTACTAGTCTTTCGACGAACTATCACTAGTCTTTCGACGAACTATCACTTTAATGAGGGTTTTTTAGTTTCTTACCTGGGAACATGAAAATCTTTGTACGGCACCAAGACCACATTGGTGCCGATGATACAAGTGCTTTCATTGATCCTCATTCTATCTGAAATAAAAGTGAAACAGAAATAAGCCTCAAAATAAAACAAAACATTTCAAATTCAAAGAATTATGGTCTATACAATGGTTTGGCTGGAGGTTGTATGCCTTATTCTTGTGAAAAACATGTTGCCTTCAACTAAGACAATAGCTTTAACTTTTATTAGCTTTATTTGAGCCTTTATACTTTAGATCTATTTCTATTTTTTTAACTTTTTTGTTATTCATTATAGTAGCCTTTAGATATCTGGGGTCGTTTTACAAAATCTAGATGCTGTCGCTCGACTTTTCCGCCAAATGTTCACAAAACCATTTTCTTTGCAAAGACGAGCGTCAGCTTCCCCGATGCACTACACACAGCGCCGAGCGAGGCTCCGGCTGGGCCTCAGCCAACGACCGCGACCGGGTACAAATACGGTCACACTTAGACCGAAAGCTTCAGTCTCTATAATCGTCGGTTGTTCCACTGAGACTACGTCTGGCTCCACTAGACCTCCGGTTATAGAGACTGAACGACTGCCTATGCCAGCCTGTGTTGAACTTATTCCGCTAGATTTTAGCCGCTAGGCCCCTCCCACAAACTTGCCACGGCCGTATTGTTATGCCCCCAAAATCCCCAAAATGTCATTTTACCTCGTTCATTTCCAATTTTAAATTAGGCCTAGGCTATAATACATCGGTTCCACTTACTAACTTGATTGATATAATCCGTTTAATGGTCCCTTTTAAGGAAATTATCGGTCAAAATCGACATCCATGTTGAAAATCTTGCAAGCCGTTCGCTGCCGTCAATCTCATCCCTTCTAGTCTACGCCGAAGGCAAAATGATTATGAAGGAAAAACTGTGATAACGCCATTACGAACGTGTAGATGGCGCACAGTTTTTCCTTCCTAATCATTTTGCCTTCGGCGTAGACTAGAAGGGATGAGATTGACGGCAGCGAACGGCTTGCAAGATTTTCAACATGGATGTCGATTTTGACCGATAATTTCCTTAAAAGGGACCATTAAACGGATTATATCAATCAAGTTAGTAAGTGGAACCGATGTATTATAGCCTAGGCCTAATTTAAAATTGGAAATGAACGAGGTAAAATGACATTTTGGGGATTTTGGGGGCATAACAATACGGCCGTGGCAAGTTTGTGGGAGGGGCCTAGCGGCTAAAATCTAGCGGAATAAGTTCAACACAGGCTGGCATAGGCAGTCGTTCTGTCTCTATAACCGGAGGTCTAGTGGAGCCAGACGTAGTCTCAGTGGAACAACCGACGATTATAGAGACTGAAGCTTTCGGTCTAGGTCACACTCTGCTCTCTTTCACTCGTTCAGTCTCACTCATTGAATTCATTCGCGTCACACTGTTAAGTCAGCAATGATAATTTGAACATTCAAACAGGAACTGATACGCTAAAAATGAATCTAATCCACGATAAGGAAAGCTACAAACATTGTTTAAACAAACATACCCTGCTCTGATTCACGTCCCACAACATGAGATTTCACATAATTTGCAGACAAACAAATTATGGAACGCCAAAAGGAACGCTAGATACAGGGGATAAGGGGGGAAGGGGGGGGGGGGGGTTGTTGTTGTTGTTGTTGGGTAATTGTTTATTGGCGTTCATTCAATGTTGAATATATACGCCATAATTATTTTTAATTTTATAAGGAAAATCAGTTATAAATAAGAAAACTGAGGATAAAGATTTGTAATGATATAATTAAAAAGTAACGCAATTTTTTAGGAGTCTCTGGATGGTTTGCAACTTCGTGTTTCTGCTTTTTTTTTTTTAGTTTAATCTGGTCAGCCCGGTTTCGATGGCATGGGGGGGGGGGGGGGAATGCATCATCAGGCACGTAGCCAGAGTTTGATGTTTGGGGGGGGGGCACATAAATGTAATCGGTCGAGGTCAAAAAAGAGGTCTAAAAAAGTTCAACCGATCCTGGATTTTTTTTTTTTTTTTTGGGGGGGGGGGGGGGCTACGTGGCTACGTGCCTGGTATGTATCCCCAAAATTGTATATACATGTAGGCCTATATGATGAAATAACGGAAAATGAGTAATTACTGCTTGTGTGATTAATAATGTTATTGCACAATATTTCCTTGATGTATTTCACAAAAATAGTCGGGAAAATCTATTGAATCTAGCTGTGTAACAATCTTTTATTTAAGTATGACCATGGATATACATGTACCAGTGTGAAGAAAACAAGGGCTCGTTTAACGTTACGTTACATTCTCTCTATGAAAGAGTTCAAACGATATAGTAAAGCAATACGTTTCTAAAGTTCCCTATAAAATTATGTTTCATTACAGCCTGTACAAAAAAAAACGGAAGATCTTTCTTCTCGATCACTATACGTTCCCTCGCAGAATATACTTTCAAACGAAGATGTAATTAAACCTTTCATAATGGGATAAGAATTTGTCCCCCGAAATTTAAAAAAAAAATTGTATATATACATGTAGGCCTATAATGATAAAATAACGCGGAAAATGTGTAATTATTGCTTGTGTGATCAATAATGTTATAGCACAATTTCCTTGATTTCACAAAATCACAACATATTATTAAAATCAAACTATTAAAGGGATAGTTGAATTCTGTTGCAGAGGGCGCTACACAAATTTTTTTTTTGTGAGATAATGAAAAACTGAGTCGTGTCAAATTTGAAAGAACATAATATTTAAATAAAGTCATCTTTGTTTGATCAAAATCGGTTCAGAGACGGCTGAAATATAACGATTGCTAATACTTGTGTACCGGCCACCACAATTGGATATTTTGACAAATTTAAAAAAAAACGTTAAAAAACCCGAAATAACGCCTTTTACGTTGTCAATTAATGCCAATGCCGAAGGGGCTCTTTTGTTGGCATTTTCGTGCTGCTTATACAGTGCGTCCCAGAAAAAAACGATACTGAGAAGCAGGCGCGTACGCAGAATTTGAATAAGCGGGGGGGGGGGGGGGGGGGGGGGGGGGGGTAAGAGGTCACTTTTTTTTGTTTTTTTTTTGGTCTCGAAATTTGAAAATTTGACATTTTGCTCCGTTGGGGGGGGGGGTAATTTAGGTCAGCTTTTTTAGGTCAACCATGGGAATCCAAAGGGGGGGGGGGGGATTTAGAGAAATTTAGGGGGGTTTACACAAAAAAATTACCAAAGGGGGGTTTAACCCCCAAACCCCCCCCCCCCCCCCCCCCCCCTGTGTACGCGCCTGGCGAGAAGTATCGATGTTTTATCATAACTTAATCACAATCATAATTAATGAATGATATATATTTGGAAAGCTTAGAGTCTCCTCTAACGTGGTGCATATTTTACGCATGAGTGATTAAATGCAATTTGAAGGAAGGAAACCAAAAAGTAATTTGGCGGGCAGTATCTGAATTTCAAAGAAAATTTCATATTTCTAGAAAGTTCATTTTCTGCTCTTTCATATGATACCTCAATCAAGAAAAATGAGCCAGGAATAACAAAGTCCCGTTTGTTTAAAGTAACCCTTACATTTCATAATTTTAACAAACAAATTCGTTTTCACTGGGTGCCTGCCGTAGCAAAAAGCAGATCTGACAAAAGACTTAACTCCGTTTCGTTGACAATCAGCCATGCATGAAGACTCTCGTCTACGGCTGATTGTCAACGAAACGGAGTTAAGTCTTGTTAATTTTGTTTATGGATACGGCAGGCAGCCAGTGAAAACGAATTCGTTTAATAAAATAATGGGAATGCTAGCAATACTTTAAACAAACAGAACTTTGTTATTCCTGGCTCATTTTGGTGTGCCGCTCTAATGGGTCACTTTTTCACAAAAAACACTAAACATTGGTCCCATTTAAAAAAAAATATCCCTAAACATGAGTCCCATTTTCGAAAATTGTGAAAATGGTCTTTACTTCGAGAATCCCTCAAAATGACCTTTAAAATGGGTAAACCTAGGTTTCGAGGTTTGAGCGGCGCACCCCTGTCCAAACCAAATCTGAGTCACCCCCCCCCCCCCAAAAAAAAAAAAACCGGGCTTAAATTGGGCCGCTTCAACCCTTCATGGCCGGCTACATCAATCACTGTTTTCTTTTGAAATTACAATAAACCGACCCCAAAATTGTAATCTATAAACAAAATGGAGGTTAGTATTTACATTACTCAGTGGTACAATCGTAAACATTTCGAATCAATGCAGGAAACGGTGGTCCGTGTAGTTATTAAGCCTTCAGTGTGTCTTCGATCTCATATGGGTATAGGTCTACCCCGAACACTGAGTGGACTGAAAGCTTAATTTTGTCATCTTGGACACCATATTTATTTTCCCTCAAGAAGCGCATGTTATTAATTGTGATCTTATAAATTTTGAAGAAGGTTAACAAAAAGTTGCCTTTGAGGCCTATCAAGTTTCTTTATTGTTCAAAACATTCTACTAAAAGGCGAAATAACTCAGCAATAGTATCATAACATATATGTGAACCGCATTACATATTTCAGCATAAAAATACTCAGGATAACAATGACAAAAAAAATGAAATAATTATTTATAAAAATGACACAATGGAAGATATAGCTCTCGTAGAATACTCTATAAAGAGATGTGTCTGGTTTGCTGCCCTCAACGTTCGGAGCATTATCGCGGTTGTTTTCAAAATCTAACGACGAAGTGGTCAATCAAAACACCGAGATTTGTCACTTTACAAGATATAAGGTAAATGATGTTTATTTCAATTCATAATTCTATATTTTTATTTATAACGCTTCGCTTTGATAGCTAGATATAAGATAATTGATTGATTGATAGTACTATAAATATTAACAGATCGCAGACTGCGAGTAACTGCCTTTGCGGAATTAAGTTTGGGCTTTACTCTGGCAATGCCACTGCGGACGCAGGGCGCGGGCAGGGCTGGCTATGCCGACGGAGCGGTTGGGCGGGCTGCTCACGGACCGACATAACTCCGGGAAGCTCCAACACCATGAACACCGGCGCACAGTGGGCCAGGGAGGAACCAAAGTGCGCCAAAACTCATGTTTGGGGATTTTTTTTTTATAAATCCATAGAGGAAATGTTTGGATTTCCAGGGATTTTCGCTAAAATTTTATTACCAACATTTTCTCTGATGTCTAAGCTTAGTTCAGTTGATTCTGCCCGTTATGTTAATTGTTATAGACTTCTAGATCTAGACCGAATTTTCCGTCTCTTTCGTTCGTTAGCCTCTTATTGGGGTAGGGTCAGCCGGCTCTCTCTTTAGAGACGGAAACCGTCTATACACATTCCCTTGATAACGCCACGGCCATTTCAGGTCGTAGCGTTTTGCCCCCAAAATCCCCCAAAATGTCATTTTACCTCGTGCATTTTATATTGGAAATTAGGCCTAGGCTATAATAAATCAGTTCCACTTACCAACTTGACTGAAATAATCAGTTTAATAGTCCCTTTTTAGGAATTTATGGGTCAAAATCGAAATCCATGTTGAAAAAGATTTTCAAAATGGATTTCGATTTTGACCCATTCTTCATGTTGAATTGAAAGAGTTATAAAATAAGTCACTTTTGACTGTGAATATGTAGGATTTTGCTGTTTGAAGTAGTAAATTTATACCCTATTGTGCATAACGAAATTGAATATTTCACTGAGGTATTCCTTTATGTATTACCTTTTAACTGGGCAAGAAAAAAATTGGAAAAAAAAAAATCACCCAAACTTAGTTTTGGCGCACTTTGGTTCCTCCCTGGCCCACTGTGCGGCGCCGCGGCGCCAGTGTTGGAGCTTCCCGGAGTTTTTACCGACAGTGCACGCATGCACTGGACAAAACTCGCCGAGCAGAATTTTCTCCAAATCGGCACTTGTACTTGTCTTAAGTTTAATGACAATTGATTACACCTAAAAAACAAAAAAGCGAGAGCACTTCAACTCACCTAGACTAGTACTAGACTATGTTGGAACTTGGAAAAGATAATTTGAAAATTGGAAATCTGACTTTTCTGAGCATGCGCCGCTGAGACGAGTGAAGTTACAGTGAGACCTGAGACTGAGTGAGACTGAGAGTGCAGTGAGAGTGAGACCATGGACCTAAGTCACCTACTAAGAATGGACTTTTGACGATGCAGTCCCTTTGATCCTACGATTCCACAGCTAGGTTTGAATTACGCGCTGATGCAAAAACCCGGAGTGTGGTCCCACCACAATCTGACAGCTGCTAGCTGGATGCGATCATTTATGCAATCTTGCATAATCGCAACTGCAGCCTGCAGGCTTGCGATTTTTCGTGTTCGCTGCTCCTTTAAATCATTGAGAACTTAGTCTTAAATTGTTATGAGCGCTCTCCACAATGTGGAGGTAGCGAACATGTTTTTTTCTTGTGCCTGATTTCACATTGTCATTGTGATTGTTTTCAGCGCTGTGTAGTGACGGAGCGGAATATAATCTTACTGGGCCTAAATATCTACTGTTAACTTACGCAATACTATTAATTACGATACTAAGGGTCAATCCTACCATAAGCTGTAGAATTGCAGTAACTCTCGAAAACCTCGTTG